ACGCTGCCAAGGAGCTTCGCTGACGAACGGCTCATGCGTGAGTCGGTCCATGTGATCTAGAAGGCCGTTGCGAAGCGTTATGGTCTCAACACTGCGTCCGGCGTGATAGAGCTGGTGCAGAAGTTTAAGAGAGTGGCCAACTCGGACTTCAAGAACGTTTCGCATCTGTTCCATCAGCTCAAGGCTGCTCGCGAGCGAGCGAACAGGAGCAGCATTGAGGCTCTGGGTGGGAAGATCATATCGTTCCATCGTGCTCATCAAAGTCCTGGCTATTCTGCCTGGTCACCTGTGGGGCTCAGGAATTGAATTCCAGTCAGGAGACTTCACGGCTGAGAAGGTGGAGCCAAAACCGGTCGCCAACTTCGATTCCAAGAGCCAGGCGCAAATCATGGCGCTGGGCAAGGGCATTGCGGTGAGCCACGTGCAAGCCGGGACAGCCAAACTTAAGGCAAGTGCACTGGGCAAGCGAAAGGCCGCGCCCGAGCCCATCAGCGATCTGCACTACAACGTGGGACATAAATCGTGCCACTACTGTACTGGGGAGTTCAACGACATGAATGATGTCGGTCCTCATCTGATTGCTGCCTGCCCCAAGATGAAATACGACTTGAGCCTGGGCGTCCAGCGCAGGAACATCTGGAGCCGAGGCAAACAAGTGGGCACTTGCTGGTCGAAGCCGCAAGAAAAGGGCAAGTCGGCTGCCAAGATCAAGAAACCAGCCCGCAAGCAGGTCCCGGTTGAGGACTGTCTACCGAAACCGGTGAACGCGTGCGAGACGGTGCACCCAGCCGCTCCACAAACTTCACCGCCTGTCAGCCCGCAAACGACAATGTTGACACCCGGCTACGAAGATATGCACGGCATCGAGCCAATGGACACGGACGAAGCCATGTCGTTCTTCGACTTGCCAATCAGCGCGGGACAAGTCACGGAAGCGCCAACCAGTGATGGGCAGATCGCCGACATGGCGGCAAGCGTCAACAAGATGGCAGTTGACGTGGAACAAGCGGTAAGATCCATGTATCATTTTCTGCTTGACAGTGAAACATTTCTGACCAATGACTCTTGGGTACTCGATTCAGGATGCGGGTTAGGGCTAACCAATGAAGAGTCCCGGTTCGTGGAGAAGAGATCCAACAACTGCTACATGTTTACATTTGCAGAAGGGTCTAAGCATACAAATACACCCATTGACACTGTGAAACTTTATTTGCATGGTCCGGAGGTATCCGACCGTTTCAGTTTACGAACATTGCGCTAATACCGCATACTAAGTCGAATATTCTTAGCAAATACTGGCTACAAAGGGGAGGGTATCATATTATAGGGTCAGCCAATGGCGACTTTAAATTTGTCCTCTATAAGAACCAATTGGTTTTTGTGGCCACGGCACTTAACGGGGCGTATTATTTACAATCCAAAACAGTAAAAGAACGACAAGCGTTCTGCCATGCGGTGAAAACGCAACCATCCAAGCCACTGGTACTGCCAGGAGTGGGCAAAGTAGAGGCTGCACTAAAGGAATGGCACGTAGCGTTGGGGCACTTGAGCAAAGAGCAGGTGGTCACAATGTTGACCAAACCAGTGGTAGCCGGTATGCCACACTAAAGGCATCTGATCTAAGACAAGTACCATTCTTCTGCATAACATGTACGGAGATGAAGAAGAAACGGATGTCGTATCGCAATACAAAGGGCTCAAAAAATGCAAAACTGATCAGCACGATACACATGGACATAAATGGTTCGATGAAGACAATGGGAGTCATTGGAACCGTGGGCACTATCAAGTACTTTTTTAGCATCATTGATGACAACACGTCATGGCATTGGACATACATTCTACGGAACAAGAAAGATGTGTTCGAGAAGGTCCGAGAGCTCCTGCTGCAACTGAGCGTGAAGGAAAGTTCACAATCAGGAGCACTCGATCCGATGGTGGAACTGAGTTCGTGAACTCAGCGTTCAAAGACTTCTGCATGGAAAAGGGCATCATCTTTCAGACATCAAATGCATGCAGCCCAGAAGAAAATGGAGCGGCAGAGCGGGATCACCAAAGCAAACTAGACAGAGTTTGCTGAGCGCTCAAAGATGCTGACATGAAGCATAGATGATGGCCAGAAGCCTTGATCTAACTGACCTATATTCAAAACCGTACCCCAATGAGTCGGTTGGGTGGAAAGACACCATACGATATGGTGCACGGGAAGCCACCCAGCATTAGTGGCTTACCTGTGTGGGGTAGTGTCTGCTTTGTCCACATACCGGCTGCACTTCGCAAAGACAAGAAACTGTCTGCTAGAGCGCTAAAGTGCTGGTTCCTGGGTGTCTCAGAAGAAGCCAAGGGCTACAGACTATGGGATGTCTATAACAACAAACACATCGTTGCTCAAGATGTGCTGTTTGACACAACCAATGTAGCAAACATTGTCAATCGAGCCTTTGACAAGTCCAACCCGGAGGTCACAGCTCAATTTGCTCTGCGAGAGATACCCGGAGCAGTGGGAGAATAGCAGACTGCATCTGAGCAGGAGAGAGCTGAAGCAGTGGAAGTTGCACCTCCCACTGTGTCTCCAATGGAGTCCGCTGAAGCAGTGGGGGTATTCAAAAGGAAACGGAGCGCAGGGTTAGCGGAAGCTTCACCGCCCGTGGCGCGACCCCGTCGAGAGTCCAAACGACCAAAAAGGTATCAGGACTATCAGTGCTTCCAAGCAATCCTGTTCAAAGCTAACGCGGAAGAGATCCTAGAAAACAACGTCTCCATACCAAGAACTATCAGAGAAGTTCTGCGTGGACCCCATAGAGAGCAATGTAAACAGACCCTAGAGTTAGAGTACGACTTTCTCATCGAGAACAGAACCTGGAGATTGGTACCACTACCGCCTGGCCGAAAGGCTCTACCATGTCACTGGGTGCTCGTGGTGAAATACAGCGCTGACGGTACCGTCGAGCGATTCAAAGCACGACTCATTGCTCAAAGTACTGTAACTACCAAGAATTTGGAGTTGACTGTGACGAGGTATATGCACCGGTAGCAAGGTTTGAGTCCCTTCGCTTGGTGTTAGCCATTGGAACTATACAGGACTGTCATACCCATCAAATGGATGTCCACACTGCGTTCCTAAACGGTACCATGGAAGGAGAACAGAAAATCTACATGAGACAACCTCAAGGGTTTGCGAAGCAAGGCCAAGAGCAGCTGGCCTGTGAACGTCTAAAAAGCATATACGGGTTAAAGCAGGCCCCTCGCATAGAGCTCTTCATACCTTCTTGACATCGATGGGTTTTGCTCGTTGCCACAAAGTGTTTTGTATCTATCGTCAAAAGTGGGAGATGAATGGCTTTTTGTCGTGGTATATGTCGATGACCTCACTATTAAGTCTCGTGACATGGGGCTCATCAACCGACTGAAAGCCGAACTGTCAAACGGTTTAAAATGAAAGATCTGGGAGACATTCACTACATTTTCAAGATGGAAGTGCGACGCAACAGAAAGCAGCGAGTGATGATGATCTCACAACGCAAATATATCGCTGAGCTGATAGGTAAGTACAACATGGTGACCAGCACACCTGTACTAGCCCCACAAGCTCCAGGGTTGACGCTAGAAGCTGAGACGAAGATGAATGCTGAGCAAATAGCAGCGCAGCATTTCGACTACCGAGGCATAATTGGATCACTCCAATACCTGGTCCGTGGAACACGACCTGACATTGCCAACGCGGTGAGAGAATTAAGCAAGCTCCTATCGTGTTACAATCATATACACTTGGAAGCGGCTAGACGTGTCCTCAAATACTTGAAAGGGACGTCAGCGTACGGTCTACTACTCGATGGAAAAGAGAGTGACGTGACTTACGAAGTGTACACACACGCGAGCTTCGCGTGTCATCCAAAAGAACGCAAATCAGTCACCGGCTATGTGATTAAAACGGCTGGAACCAGCGTGTCGTGGTGTAGTAGCAAGCAAGGAGGTGTTTTCCTCTCTCTACTGCTGAGGCAGAACTCATCGCACTAAGCGAACGTGCTAAGGAGAGCGAGTGGCTATGGCATCTTCTAGGAGAAATGAAATTTTCCACAAAAGGGTCCGGTGCAAGTCTGGTTCGACAGCAATGCTGCCATCAGCATCGTCAGCAACCCAGGAAACCACGAAGCAAACACGCACATTGAAATACGGCTTATATTTACGAGAGACATGGTGGAACATACTCGTCTCAAGATAGTCTATTGTGCAACAACAGGGATGGCTGCCGATACTCTGACAAAGACATTGCCAGCCAAACAATTCCTATAGCTGAGGCATAAGCTAGGAGTGATGAATCTAAAGCTTACCCCTAGTACTTAGTGGGAGTATTGGCCAGAATGGCGATTAGACGCCGAGTTGCCGAAGGCGGCGAAGAGTTGGTAGAGGCCACAGATGCTGGACATAATTTAGTGTGTTAACACAATAAAATACTTACTTTCATTAAAACAATAGTGAGTACTAGAGTAAAACAGATCCTAAGAGCACTTGGATACAGTGCACCAGCAGACAGAGGCTGTCTGCCAACCAAACACTAGTGCGATGAGGACTTGAGGGCAGAAGGAAGAGATGCCGTCCAAGGACGAGATTACTTCTTCTTCTGCCTCAGACTGAGCACAAGTCTAGAGAATAGGTACCGTACTCCTTATGTGATTGGCGACGCTCGGTCATTAGCGACAAATCCAGCAGCCAATCAAATTGATTTAAATTTCGTGTCGTCGCGCTTTATGTGCTTGGCGACCAATATAATTTTGAACATGTAATATAGTTTTTCTATGCAGGTATCTTTTATGCTGGCAAGAAAGGCTGGACCACCTCAACTTTGGCGCCACCTTCAGGTACAACCTATCAGAGGGGTTTGTATGAATTTAGATAGGTTTATTAGAAAAAATTAGTGTGGCTCTTGGACATACTGTCGTACATGCACATTGTTGCAGTAATCTGCAACTTGTTCGCTCAAATACTGTTACACGAACGAAATGACGACGGCGACTACGCGTGTCGGAGGGGGCCGGGCGCTGCTATTGCTCGCCACCAAACTCGTGTTGATCTTCGGCTGCGCTGTGGGCGTCGTTTCAGGGCTCTGCATCCTCTTAGTCCGTCGAGTCCGCGAGCATGACGCCGCGTTGGGCCTTGCAACTTCAAAACTGGACGCTCTATCCATCCGCAGCTTCTCCTCGCTCCAGGAGCTACAGCGCTCACACGAGACCTTCCTACACGTGTTCGCCGTACAATTTCCCCTCGCTTTGACGTGTTTCACGAGCGTCTACGTGCTTAAACAGGTAAGGAGCTTCTGTATCGACTTTTACGTTTTAGGATATGTGCAATACTAATGTTGTGCTTCTTGCAAGACGTTCGCCATCCCTGGTTCAGCCTTGCTCAACGTGTTCGCAGGAGCGATTCTGCCCCTGTCCCTGGCATTCCCATTGGTCTGCACTCTAACAGCGTGTGGGGCGTCTTGCTGCTTCCTGTTGTCCAAGAACTTAGCCTCCGAGGAGATCGTAGTGAGCTTAAGTGAACGATTATTGCCTGGCAAACTGCCCATGCTGAGACACAAGATCGAGGACGCAACAGCACGAGGCCAACTGCTCTATCTGCTGCTCTTCCTGCGGGTTTTCCCGTTCACTCCCAACTGGTTCCTCAACATGGCGAGTCCGTGGCTTCAAGTGCCGCTGAAATGGTTCGCTCCGTCGGTGGCGCTGGGACTTTTGCCGTACAACTTTATCACCGTACACGCCGGAGCTATGTTGTCCTCTCTTCGGAGTACGAGCGACTTGTTGGACCCACGCACGGTGGGACTCCTCGTCCTTCTGGCGCTAGGAATGCTCGTCCCTGCACTTCTCAAGAAGAAAAACAAGGAGCGGGAAGCACAAGAGAACAGCAAGAAGGCGAAGTGACAACACTTTACTTCACAGTAAATTTAAAAAAAGAAAATGCGACTTTTGTGCTTCTGTGTCGGAAGTTACATCAGGTTTCCACGGTTCGGTTAGTTTGGTGCTGGTTTGTCAGAATTAATATCTTTGTGAAGAGTTTTGTCAAAATCCTGGATACAACGTCGGATCTGGTCCGCTGCTGCGATGCATCCCTCCAGGTGTAGCGGAACCAACCTCTTCGCATCAGCACCAGAGCGTGGCAAACGCCGTAGTCGCGACGATATATCCGTAATTCCGAGCAGTATTTCCCGAATTTGAGACTCCAATTCGGGTTCGGAAGATCGACTTTTTGCATCCGTAAAATCTGCCGTTGACGGTAAGGTAGCTTGATCACTCAAGGCTTCGTGAATCTCTTTCTGTAGCTGTCTTTGCAGCTTGTACGACTTGTCAGCGTCCAGGTACATGAACACTTGTATGCGGTCTCTTAGATTTGATGACGAATTTTGCTTACTGACAGCCCAGAGGGAGCTCGAAGCCAGCATTCCCTCGATCTTACCTGCAATGCCGTCGCTATAACGTATCGAATTCTGCTTCTGCTCCTCTAAGACTGTCATTCCTGTTGGGGGAGCTGGAGGTGTCAGTAGCTTTGACGGCGGAACCATATTCGCTCGGACGAAACACTTCTCCAAAATATCATCGGGCACTTGACTCCAAGCCTGTTCCAGCAACCGAGCAGCGTCCAAAAGTGTCGGTGTGTGTCCGAAGTGTACACCACCACCGTATTCCCTCTCCTCTGATGCCTTGAGAGTCGCCTTGACTTCTTCAGGAGCATTATGATACGACATCACACTCTGCACTAGCAGATACTTATAGTGCGCCTTGAGTGCACTAATCACACCCACTTCCAATGGTCTAGTCCACCACGTCTTTGGATTTGTTGTGGCCTCCCCAAACGACGCTACTGACGGCAAGAACACCAATCGAATGCCGTCGTCTTCGAAGTTTCCTTGATGTCCTGGCCGCTCTCCATCTACCACTAGTAACACCGGTTTACTCGTGCGTTCGCGTACAAACGGTACGAACACAGAGCTGTACCAACGGCCGAACGTTGGTCGATCCAGCCAAGCTCTCTCTTGGCTGAAATACGGCACCGGGAATGTCGAAGTTGTCGACATTTTACCGATTAGGGACACTGGTAGCGTCAATTTCCCAGTAGAATTGCAGGACACGACCAATGTCACTCGATTCCTGTGTTCTTGTGATTCGTCAAAAGGCAGAGTGTCGTAGAACAAAGAGGTCTCTTCAACTGTAAAGATCCATTCGGGGTCGTACTGGGTCATCAACTTGTGCAGGTCTTGCAGACTCTTGGTCTCTCTAATGTTATACTCGTATTTCTTCTCGGCGGAGCTTACGAAGGCGGTACGGATGCCATATCTCTTGCTGAACTTATCGTACCAGCCCCAACTGGCCTTGAACTGGTCGGGACTGATACCCATGCTTCTTGCCACAAGTTTTGCCTTGTCGATTACCACTGAGGGCGAGATTTCCGCCTTCGCTCGCTCTCTAGCATCGATCCAGGCTGCTAGCGTCTTTTCCAGCTCAGGAAACCGAGGCGCAGACCGCCGGTGGACATGAACTCTCATGTTTAATACGGCGGAGGAGCCTGCTCGCGCCTCAATGTCAGCAGCAGAGTTGATGATCCGACGAATCGACTTCTCGTTCACTCCGAAATCTCGCGCAAGCTGGCGCATCGAGAGTGGAGGATTCGAGTTCTTGTGCTTGTGGATGATCTCCAGGCGCTGCAAGTCATTGAGCCGCGGGCCGGCGCCGCGTCCTCGCTTCCGCATCGCCTTCTCCATCATAAAAGATGACGAGCGGAAGCAGTGTTCTGCACATCAGCTATACATAAATGCTACGTTGTCTACACCATCTTTTCTTGATATCAGTATTCAAGTCGAAAAGACAAGCGAACATGGCTCCAGGTGAGCTGCGAAAGAAGAGAAGCTCCCACTGCGGACTTTATTCTAATCCAATTGGTTCTCGCAGGAGGACGCGTGCGTAAGGAGCTCGAAGAGTGTCAGAAAGACTCGGACCTGTCCGGCGTCACAGCCGAGCCTGTGAACGCCGCGTCGCTCTCAGAATTGCGCGGCTCCATCCAAGGGCCCGAAGCCACGCCGTACGATGGTGGCCACTTCGAGCTGGAAATCATCATCCCACCCAAGTAAAGCACACTTTCTATCTTCTTCTACCGCATAGTTTTTATTCTAATGCGTTTAAACACCAGATACCCATTCGAGCCCCCGCAAATGCGCTTCTTGACCAAGATTTGGCACCCCAACATCTCGTCACAGACTGGTGCCATTTGTCTGGATATCCTCAAGGACGCGTGGTCGCCTGCGCTGACTATTAAGACGGCGCTGCTGTCCATCCAAGCGCTACTATCCGCTGCAGAGCCGACAGACCCACAGGACGCCGAGGTGGCAAAAATGTATCTCCACGACCACGAGCAGTTCCTCAACACTGCGCGCTTCTGGACTGAAAGCTACGCCAAACAGACCGAAACAGGAGACGACGCTGCACTCTCCAGACTCCTCGACATGGGCTTCCCCGCTGTAAGGAAAAATGCCTGTCGTATTTTTGTTTTATTCCTTATTTTGACTAATTTTGTTTACCTTGCAGGATCAGGCAAAAGCAGCACTGCAAGCAGCAAACGGTGACGAGAACGCTGCGATCGAAAAACTAGTCAGCAGCATGTAGCTCTCGCTTAAGGGGAAGGCTAACAGATGACTAGATTCCGATAGGAGTTTTATTCTTCTTCTTTTTGGGATGCGATCGACTCACTGTTTTTGCAGAAACTTTTTTTCTTTTCCAGTACCGGTAAGCCGTTCGCATTTTGTCACTGCTGCTTGTACTTTGCTGTTTGTATTTGAAGAAGACTGGTCCACCACTTACATACTACTGTAGTAGAACTGTATCTTCGACAACATCTTCTACCTGGAGCACTAAGTACAGTACTGCACCCCGTTTTCGCGAGGGTGGACCATATAGGATTTGCAAATAAATCATATTTTAGCTTACAAATGTAAGTTCTTTCGATTTCAGGATCATCACATCCAGAAGATTATCAAAGGTCCAAGGGCGCGAAAACGGGGTGCAGTACTGTACAGTAATCACCAACGTTAATGGGTTTTGATGAATTTCAAAGATGCTTGTACAGTACTGCACCCCGTTTTCGCGGGGATGGACCAGATAGGATTTGCAAATACATCAGACTTTTGCTTACATATCATTGTTAATTTAAGCTCACAGTCATTACATTTGGAAGTTTATCAAAGGTCCAAGGGCGCGAAAACAGGTGCAGTACTGTACTGTACTAGTGAGCTGACAGAAAAATTGGCATAACTCGGAATGGATCCGCTGGAAATCTTGTCAGATGGCTTGATGCATGACCCCAAGGAAAACCCCTGTCCAACCTGCTGAGTTCGGAAGAGACGTCTCCACTGGATAAAGTGCATCTATCCCGAAAGCATTAATTTTTCACTGTACATGTACTGTACTTCGCGAAGCAGAACTTTGTTTGTGTAAACTTGAATGCATTCCGAAGCTGAAGGAATGATGACTCTAAAAGGACATTACGGATCGGAAACCAATCAACTTATATGCTGACCGGGATGGACTTTAAAAGTACGCGTGACAAGGAGGTTAACTCTTAGGATTGGAAAACGAGTTGTCCATCAGTGCGTAAATCTGGACGACAAATTAAGCCCCACTCCCTTCATTTTGCTATTCTCCTCGTCGCCCTGAAGCCACTAAATATTCAAGACATGCGCATCAACTTCGTCGCAGTTGTGCTTTGGGTCGCACTTCTTTCTGTCACCAAGGCGGTGTCGGCCACACCTGAGATACCAACCCAGAAAAGTCGGCACCGCTACGCAACCAACGGCCTGAGAAGCGACCACGACGCTATCGACGAGGAGCGAGGCCTGAATTTTTTTAAGAAGCTGTTCGGCATGAACAAACACGAGAAATCTCAATTGAACGAGTACTCGATAACAACAGCCGCCGCGAAACTGAAAGGCCAAAAGAGCCCCGACGTCTTGAACTATCTTAACAAGCGATCTAGAGACGCTCGTGCTGCAGCCCGAGCAACTTGAACCATGGCATCCCAGTAAACCGAGCGATACTGTAATAAATTTCAGAAGCCTGTCTCGAAACTTTTGGCGTGCATCATTCCGAGTCTTGCGTCTCCATATACAGCCAAGGGGCGTACTCTGTAGCTGAATGTGCAGACGGCAAACTTGCCTATTTTTTCTTGGCTCTTGTGGACCGACTCGCGGTTTTAGCAGAAACATTCTCTTCCAATTTCTTCTTGAGCAGTTTGCGTTTATCCCCGGTGAGCTTCTTGCCCGACGTATCGCTTGAGCGCGTCATTTGCTGCTGGAACGCGGCTCGCTCAAACTTTCGCACAGCGTCCCCGCAGCCGTGCACTTCGGGCAGCGCGTGGTCGTGGCAGAATTTGAGCTTGCAGAACTTGCAGACACTGCCCAACATGGTCGTCTTTTTCTTACAGCGACTGGAGCTCTGGAACGCGCAGCTCGAGCTCTGGTTGGCTTGTCGCGTGAGGAATTCCAGCTCATCTTCTCCGTCTTTCAGGTCGTCTATGGGGGCGGTGTTGACAGCCTTGACTTGGGTCTTCTTCCTCTTGTTTTTCTTCTTCTTCCTCTTGTCTGACGTCGGTGCTGGTGGCGCAGGTTGGCGAGCGAGTCGACTCAAGTACAGATCCTTTAACAGTGAGCTAGCAGCCTTGAGATCTTCGTCCGGACTGCTCGCCTTGGACTCTTGTTGACTGACCTCGACGTCCACTGCTTCATCATTGTCGTCATCGGAGCTGTCGCTATCAAACACCATCATCTGGAACACGCTCTTCGTCGCTACAGCCTTGTCCTCTATCTCTTCCTCCTCCTCCTCCTCTTGTACAGCGACAGCAGGTTCTATTGCAGTCGCTTCCGCCGCCTCCGGTTTCTCGTCGTTGGACGCTGTCTTCTTCCTGTCAACCACCTTCACAGCGCTGCTAGAACCTGTCTTCCTAGGCTTCTGCGCTTGTTTAGGTTTTGTGACTTTAGTCTTCGCGATAGGCTTCAAAGAAGAAGACGCTGTAACTGCATCAGCCTGGTCGCTTTCAGCTGCTGACTCTGTAATCGACATGACGAGTTGTTCGTCCATTGCTCCTTCGACGACATCTTCGTCCAGATACTCTTGAGCACTTCGGTACTCTCCGTACTTCTCAAAGTGCTTCACTAATCCACTCAGGAACTTGTGCGACGAGATGGTGTCGGTATCACACACTACTGCTACATGCCGTTTCGCACGTGTGATGGCTACATTCATACGGCGATCGTCGGCAAGGAAGCCTACCTGTCTCGAGGCATTGGAGCGCACCAGACTCATGACAACTGCCTCCTTCTCGCAGCCCTGGAAGCCATCCACAGATCGGATTTCGAGCTTCGGGTAGCTCTCAAGCAGCAGAGCTTTCAGAGTCTGCACCTGCTTGTTGTACGGCGTGATCACAGCGACCTCTTCCTCCTTCAATCCAGCCTTCAATAGAGCACTCACGTGTCTCGCAACGACGTGAGCTTCCCCCTCGTTCGACTTGGACAGCTGAAGGGTACTGCTAGCCTTCTCTTCGTCCTTCGCGTCCTCCTCAAGCTCGCATCCCGCCGTGTCCAGCAGCAACAACGTGGCATCCAGCAACTCGTCTTCTTTAGAGATCGAGACGTGCGGCAGCTCATGCAACTTGCGCCTCGCGACGCCCTCGAAGCTCTTGAGCTCTCCCTTGTACATCGCCTGGGAGCTCCACTCGCTGATATCTTGGTGCATTCGGTACTGCGTGTCCAGCATCTTGACGATGCTCTGAGTGTTCGTGTAGCTTGTGACCCGATCGAACAGCGTCACTTCCAGTCCTTTGGCTGCTGCTGCCCTCGACTTGATGGTGGGAGGGAGCTGTAGGTGATCCCCAGCCAACACGCAGCGCTTGGCCTTCAGCATGGGGATCCAACACGACGCCTCGAGTGCCTGCGCCGCCTCGTCAATGATAACCAAGTCGAACGTCACGTCCTTGAGAAGCTTCGACGCTGCGCCGACGTTGGTCGCGAACACGACGTCACTGTGTCGGATGATGTCGCCCACCACCTTCTGCTCTCGAGTCCGGATCTCCTTGCGATTGGCCTTCATCTCGCGTCGTAATCGGTACCGTTCGCTCTTGTCTCGAGTCTTCTGCAGCTTTTTCTGCATGGAGCTCATTTCCTGGCGGATGTCGTTCACTATCTCGGTGCCTTCTGCACTCTCGATCTTGGCATCCAAACAGTAGTTCAGTATCTGCGGCAGCACTCGCGCGGGGTGTCCTATACGTGTGAGCTTCAGCTTCTTCCTAAGCGTCGAACACGTGCTCGCCAGCTTGTCTAGCACATTATCCACGGCGATATTTGACGGAGCACAGACTAAAACCTTTAGGTCGAATCTGGTCACTGCCTGCAGTATAAACTCCACCACTGTCGTCGTCTTGCCGGTTCCTGGAGGGCCGTGAATGAGAGCCAAGTCCTTGGACGCCAGTGCGAATCTTACCGCCTCCACTTGAGACTCGTTTAGACCTGTATTAAAGGGCGTTATGTCAGGAAGTGGTGTGTTCCAGCTCGGCTCGCGCTCCGAGAACACGACGTCCACTACCGTCTGAGCTGCGCCGAACTCGAACTTGGTCATTTGGTCCAGAGCGCTCGTCAACTTGAGGAACGTTGCGTTGTTCACTAGGCGGTCCAGTGTGACGCCTGCTGTTGCGGTCAGTAGCTCCACTTCATCCACGTCTTCTTGGTCGCTATTGACAGCCACAGAGATGCCTCGTTCCTCGACACGGGACACGATTCCAGTGGGTAGTTTGGCTCCGGTTAGAGTGTTTTTCTGCGCTCGGATCTGCACTAAATCCCCCACTGTGAATTGGTGTGGCTTTGCTTGCCGTAAACTAAGCGAAGGGAACGAGAACTGCAGCAGGGTGCGTCCGAATAGTCCCGTGGAGTAGCGTGCAAGAGTCAAATGTGTCAATACATTCGGGTTTTCGTTGTCGTCGAGCGTTTCCAGCTCGTCCCGCATGGTCTGCACCTCCTCCTGCTGCTCCATAGACAAGAGACGACGTGTAGATGCCAGCCATGTCTCTAGAGCCACTGGACGCAGGGCACGAGCGCCCGCAGACGCCGCCGACGCGTTGGCCTTCTTGGGCATCAGATACGTTACGTAACGCGTACACAATATTGTGTGTTTAAACCTTGTGCGAATCAGAAACGTTTGCGGAATAGACCAGAGGCGACACCTCATCACTATTATAGCGGATCATCGGCATGGCGGTGGGTACGACGGACACGAATGGGCTAAGACGCCGCAACGTACAGGGCGAGAACCCGGCGGATGATGCGCCACGTGCAGCCACCACGCCACGACGCGCGCCGCGGCCTCAGAAGGGCTTTGTGGATCTGCTCATGTCTCCGCTGAGCTTCGTTCTAGGCGACGGAGAGCCCGAGGATCCGCAGGCGGCGGCGCGTAACTTTGCGCACAGTCTACGTCGTCGCTACGGGGAGAATGTGACGCCGCGCTTCGAACACACGTCGTTCCGAGACGCGGTGTCTACCGCCCGTACTGCCTCCAAGTTCCTGCTGGTGTTCCTACACTCGAACATCCACGACGACGCCGACACGTTCTGTCGGTAAGAGCACAACAGCTAGAGAGCATTGGTCTGAGTCGCTAACCGTGTTGATGTGTGCAGCAAGGCCATGTGCACCCAGCGTATGAGTGCGTATCTTAACAACAGCGACTGCATCGTGTCGTGGGCGGGCTGCGTACAGCATGCGGAGGGTTTTGGCGTGAGTTTATCCCTCGGATGCGCCACCTTCCCGTTCCTAGCTCTACTGTCTTGTGTGTCCAGAGGGGTCAACGTGGTGGAGAAGATCACAGGTGAGTTATCTTATTTGAGTATTTGAGGCGTTCTTGTGCACTCATTGAGGGATTCTACTAGCCAACTTGCCGGCGGACGAGATTATCGAAAAGCTGAATGCAGCAGTGGATCGCAACAACCAGATTTTGACCACAGCGCGCCACATCCGCCAGCAGCGGACCGAGACGCAGATTTTGCGTGAACAGCAAGACCTCGAATACCAGGAGTCGCTGGCAGCAGACCGTCGTCGTGAGCAAGAGGCTCGTGAACAGGCCGAACGGGAAGAGAAGGAGCGATTGCGGGAGGAAGAAGAGGAGCGACGTGCAGAAGAAGAAGCGCGACGTCAAGACGAGGAGAACGCGCGTCGAGAAGAGCAGTACAAGGCTGAGATTGAAGCCAAACGCTCTCATATCGCTGACGGCCCAAAGTCGCGCACGCCGCCGCCAGGCGCAGACTACAAGACGGCGGTGATCAAGTTCCACCTGTACAACGGCACTCGTCTCGACCACATTTTCTACGCGCACGACACGCTCAAGACCGTGCGCGACTTCATCGACGTCGAGTTCTTCGACCGGAAGATCACGATCCGGAACTACGAGCTGGCTACCAACTTCCCGAAGAAAGTCTACGGTCCGGAGATCCTGGACGTCACTCTAACTGACGCGGTACGTGACAATGCTCTAAGATGTCAGTTGTTGATGCTAATGAGATGGCTACATCTACCGACAGGGTCTCGCGCCTCAGGCCTTTGTGTTTGTGCAAGATCTCGACTCGTAGCTTGAAGTAAAAAAGAAACTCGCTGACAAATGCTAAATGAGTGAGTGAAATCCTCACTGGGATAATTTAACAGCACCGTCTTACTTGGAATACAAAGACCAAGAGTCTTAATTGAAAGGTACTACAATAGTATTCAGTCTCTATAGCTGCAGTGCGCGTTGCTTGCCGGATGCTGCTCGGTACATGCGATCGTGCAGTGCAGCAGCCTGTTCATGGGTCTCCGAACTAACGCCCGTAATGAGCACACGCTCGACGCCTTGCACGTTTTCAGACCATCGCAGCGAGTCAAAGATACGCTGCGAGGCCTCGGCGACGTCTCCAGTTGGTGAGAGATCGAGATATCCTCCTACTCGGTCCTTTAAGTCGCTCAGCTTGCCGTGGAAGTCAATAACCACCCAGCGACTCAGATCTTGTTTCCTCGACGCGTCCATCGTCTCAGCTGCGTCTGCTTGGTACAAATACGTATCCACGTCTGGAGCGTAGTGTGTGATCATCTGTCCAGGTGCCTGCTGAGCCTCCTTGGTCTGCATCTTGGCTTCCTTCTGGATCGTCACCACCTCATACTGGCCCCCTAATAACTCGGCGTTATCCTCCAGTACCAGCTTCAAAGCCTGCTCCGACACGCCTCCACGTCGGAACACAATCAGCTTGCACTCCTCGGGCACAATCTTCACCACTGTCGACTCAATGCCGACTTCGCAACAGCCTTCTTCTGTCGCTTCAATGACACTCAAGTTCTCGCACGCCCCCAAGTCGTCCATTACGTGTTTGGCGGTAGTAGGCGACACGTGGCCGAATCGGTTGGCACTTGGAGCTGCCACGGGCACTTTAGCTTCCTTCAGAAGAGCCTGAGCGATGGGATGTTTGGGGCATCGGAGTCCGACAAATCCAGTGTTGGCTGACAGCATCAGTGGAAGTTCTGGCACAGCCTTAGCGATGAGAGTCAGCGGCCCAGGCCAGAAGGCTCTGCCCAGACATTCGAAAGCCTGTCGACCTGTTGGCGTCATGTCCACGAGCTTCACGGCGTCGTCCAGAGCGGGGACGTGCACGATTAATGGGTCTGTTAGCGGCCGCGCCTTGGCTTCGAAAATGGCCAGAACGGCCTCAGAGTTAAGTGCGTTGGCTCCAAGCCCATAGACAGTTTCGGTGGGGAAAGCAACGAGCTGGCCAAGTCGCAACTGCTGCGCCGCGAAGGAAAAGCCTTCAGCGTCCGGTTTGAGGAGACGCGCCATGGTGGACTGGAGGCGAATGCGAGCGCTACAAAGCGAAGTAGGACGTCGCGAATGGTGCGAACGGAAGACAAACGTCTTGGCTTGAAGGTGGAGCAAGTTGCTGCAATCGATTAGCTGCTGTTGCCGAGATACGAAGCGGCAAGCGAGACGCCCAGCGAAGCAAAGAGCACAAAGATGCCAGTCAAAAGCGTTGGTGGCTGAAAGACGAAGGGTACAGTGTACCCGAACTTCTGATTCCTGAAGTTTTGTCCTACGAGCTTTTTTTTCGATGGCAGCGCTTTATTTGAAACAGATGGCTGCACGTTAATGTGTCGTAATTATGGGAGGGTTTGATAAAGAGGCACTAGGGAGAGCGACAGCGTACAAATAGGTAGAGCTGCTCGAACGAAATGTTATTAATAGCTTTCGCCGGTGGGCCACTTTGGAATTAATGGAGACAGGTCTTTCACAAACGGAATATTCAACTGGATCAGCTTGGGGTAATTTTTTACTTTTTAGCACTAATTCTATGATTTGCTTGAAATGGTCCCCGTACCCGTCGAATATGGGCGTTCGCTTAGGACAGGGGCGATGCAGTACTGGACAAATAAACAGCGGGGATGGTCCAGGATTTAATAACCTTAGTTTTCGATAGAATGGAAGATACGCTCAAGGACCCGCCACTTTCTGACTGGCAGTCCGAATTTCCCGTGGGCGAGAGCAATGGGATAGCTTCGCGGGAACTACACAGATGCAGAATTGGACGGGACCGTGCAAGCGCTACTAGCTGGGGCCACGAAGAAGGCAACCAGCGATATCGCATAGTACCCCCAGATGCACGTGACTGCAGCACGCAAGGTATCCCTTGCGCCGTGACCCGTCGCCTCGCTCGCCACAAGAAGAGGGAGCAAGTCTCCGCGACTGGGTTATTGGGCGGCAACAGGTTGGGTATCCTGTCAGCTGTAGATAAATTCTTGAGAGGGCACAACAAGTGGCACAATTGGTGGTCTTCAAGCATCAGACGTGGTGCGACAGGCGTTTCTGATCCGGCCAGCATCGCCACTAAGCACAAGTAAAAGGAAACGTAAGAGTACAGGTGGTAGAATTCTGACGCTTAAGCTTCTCGGAGAAGAGAAAGTATCCAGCAAGTGTGACAAGAAAAATAAGCGAGCTCCGAGACGAGCGAGCAGAGAAACTGCGGTATTACCCGCGATCGAGATCCAGTACGCGATGACCGCGCTACATGCTGTTGAGCCTGCGATTGAGACGCACCTGTGATTGAGAAGCACCCGGTGATAAAGGCATGGGTGTAAGGTTTGATACCGCAACAATTGATAAACTCCCGTGGGTGCTGAGTATGACTTGAGACAGGTTCGCTAATCCATAGCCCTAATAAACTTTTTGTCTGTCAGTTTATAAACAGAGCATAGTAAAAGCCAGCATTAAACGACTACTAATCTGACAGCACCGCCAAATCGATAATCTTCGCACATAACGGCATAGATATAGCACAGCTGCATCAGTCGATATTTAAAAAAATAAAAATAAAAGTAACCTAGTGTTTCCTCTTTGGAATGCCACAAGTACCACCTCAATCCGAGCATTGCAATTGAATTTATGTATCTTTTTATGCGTTACCTCTCTGAGGCTACTTTGCTGACAATTTACCTTACTGAAAATACTGGTATATGTAGATGTACACAACTTCGAGAAGTAAAATAAAGTATATCAGAGGCTACGATAGACTCCTGCTTTAACGAGCTGCACCTTAGTGTCGACAATTAACGTCTGGGACCTCGACACAAGCCTATACGATAGCCCTTTGAGTAGCCGGTACGCTCTCTTCATAATCTTCTACCTAAGTGCCGCTCACAGAGGAGGTCAGCGCTTTTATCTCGGGATCATCGACTTCAAGCTCGATACTTGACGGCGTGAGTGATGGCGCTGTACGCTCTTCTGTGGCGCCTCGCTCGGGTGGCGTGGCGGCAGCTCCTGAGACAGCAGCGGCATCACTGGCTGCGCTTCTGGCGGAGCTTGCCTGTGGGGCGGGAGGGGGTTCCAGTATAAATCGTAGCATCCAATCAGTAAGTCGTAGAATAGACCGAAACGCCACCACGTCAGTGCATTATCGCGATAGTCACCTTTGGCGTGACCAGTGACCACCCATCGCACGAACGGCAGTAAAGCAAACACTCCACAGTCTATTAAATCCGGTTGAGCGGAGCTGCTCAGCATTATCACATCATTACCATGGAGTGTAGTAGCCTCAAGGATGTGCGCGAGGCTCGCGAGCACCTTGTTCATCGCCACATGATGCATAGCGTCGTAGTAGCGTATCTTCTTGTCTTCGTGTCGCACGATAATGGAGCACCAGTGTGTGTCCGGGAGATTAACTGGGACCATGCTAGTCTCGATCGAGCTGTCTTCGACCCATCGTCGCAAACGATTAATCACTCTAGTGTCCATCGCTGGAGTAGACTTCGATAGGCCCCTACCCTTGTTCGGACTAGCGGTTTGTACTCCGGCAAAATGACAGCTTGGTATGTCCGCGGACAGTCGCTCACATACAACTGATGAAGGTGTCGTTCGGCCTGCACGATGGGGTGGCACGATACAGTCGTCAGTTGCATTTTTTTAAATCTCGTATACGTGCATGGGAACGTACTATCAGCCAAATTGCCGATCCCTTTGACCTCGTCCTACCACCACCATTTTATCACTATCTCCACGATCCATTTGCGCAGATCGAAACCCTTCTTCACAGCCTCGATTATATGTTCAGTACGTCGACCGGTCTTACTTTGCTTACGGGAGAGCTGACCGACACCGACTATCTGCACCAATTTAACTACGAAAGACTTTGCAGAAGCTGCAGCCGAACCGGAAGGTGTTCCATGAGGTGGGCACATGACCACAGGGATGGTCGCCTTATTTTCAAGAGGTAGCTATGCGAGACACGACTCAAGAAGCTTGCGGGGCAACAGGCAGGACGAGACCAGGATCAGTAAAGGTTTGTTCATCTTTTTAAGTTTAGCCTTATTGTTCTCTCACGAAGAGGCCTTTACCACAAGACCAGCGGCAGGATCCTGGACGATATTAAGCGCAGGTTGCTCTTGATCTTGAGCATCCAACAAACCCTTCGGATCGCGCTGACCAGAGCCCTCCTTAACCTTTTCGTTGGCTTCGTATCACACTCTGTCCGTGCGCTCTTTCACGACAGCTTGTTGTTTTCATTCTTGGGGCGACCGGGTGGATTGACCTTGGCCGCGATCTTGATATAAAGCGGCGACTTATTTCCTACAGGCTCCGCATTACGCCTCTGTGGCGATGAGCTGCACAAAGCGGTGTCAATCTCCGGGGACAATGCTGCAGCGGCTCTTGAAGGTGCTGTAGACACACGTGTCTACTTGGATCTCTGAACGTTAAGGGCTACCGGCATTGACCCGGACTTGTGCCTCGATGGTGCGTCAAATCTCGCCGTTGCGTACTGGAACATCCCGAATTCCAGAGTCATTCGAGCTCTTTGTCATCCGTAGCTGCAGCCATTTTGCTCGACACCAGATGGGTTGCTCGGACGGCCAGCCTGTATCGGTCGGCATGCGTTCTTTATTACGTCCTGACAAGTGACGCCTCCTCGTGGAACGGCGAGTACTTGAACTGGTGAACGTGTTGAATACTCTCTTTCCTATTTAAGCACCTGTGTCGAACATGGGTTAGTTCTGAATTAACTGTGAATTAAAGTGTTTCACACAGATCCAATAGCAGCTATACACTTCGTTAACACGTGTCCACGGAATTACGGGGCCTTAGCTTCTGTTTGTTTTCGGTATGCAATGGCGTGCCGGCACGGAAGTCGCATCGACATTGCAAATTCACAATCGCACCGCCAGCCAGCAGAGTCTAGACGATGGATTCGTCTGCTTCTATTCACTTGTACCACGTTTCATCAGGATATTTGGTATACGTGTACGTATCGGCCCTTAACATTTGTCTTGGTGCTGCGGCGTCAGCTCGTGTGCTGTGAAATGGTTTGCGATTTGCAACACAGCAGCCATCTCCTCGTTGTAATCGGCATGGACATAGCAGACCACCTTTAGGGTTTCATGTTTGTACTGTTTCGCCACTCGACGGTCGTACCTCACCAGAACTTTAGCACCATGGGCTTGCGTCATGTTGCCGCTGACGATATCCTTCAGCTTGCCGCTGACGATATCCTTCAGCTTACCGAAGAAGTTCTCCAGTCGGTTGTTTGTATGATTCTTGAAGTGTGACAGCGACTGTCGGTGGTGTAGCACCCTCATTTGCTGCGAAGCATCCCTGTTCTTCTCAAAGGACGTGAAGAAGTCATCCAGACCAACCTTTAGACAAATGTTGTGCAGTGAAGTGTGATGTTTCGTCTAATTCTCCGGGCTCTGGGCGTACACCATGATGTGAATGGCTGCGTCGACCAGCTACGAGCGGTTTGAGGAAAAATTTCCATTACGAAGAGATGCACCGCTCTTTCCTTGGCGCAGTCGACATCTCCTGCGCGTACGGCGCGATGTCGCGAAGGAGCGGCACGCATGAGGGAAGGTTGAGCGCAGAGCGTGTCGTGTATGCTGTCGCTCTTTCCTTTTGTTCTGATGTACATATGCGTACGTAATTTTTTTGTTACTTCGGTACTGTAAAACACTTTTGGAATTCTGGATCAATCCTGTGAAATTGATCATGACGAATCCTGGGCAGGTTATATTAAAAAGAAAGTATATATTGCAATCTTTTAGACAACAGCTAGCACTTTAATCAAAAATCCATCGGGAAACCCGATTTTACACGCTTTAAATATATTCGTGGGCTCCAAGGACGAGATTATGAACGCCTTTATGGGCGGCGTGGACGTGCACGGTTAGCTCTTGCTTCGACAGTACCATCTTCAACGCAACCTCGATTTCGCAAATACTACAAGTCGTTGGTGCTTGGCTTGGTCGACATGACCATTGTAAATGGCTTCATTGTGCACAAGGCTTATAGCAAGAACAAAGGGTCGAAACCGAGTTTGCATGGAAACTCGCTCAGCGAACCCTGGGATTTCCATGGGCAGGCAGCTGTGAAAGGGGCAGTAAATTGAATGGTATCACAGCGAGGCCACGGTGTCGGCCTTCAATGCGATCCTGTTAAGGATAGGTTCAATGCCCTCAAATTAATCAAGTGGTATCACAGGGAGGCTACGGTGCTTGTCTTGAACACGATCCTGTTAAGGATAAGTCCAATGCCCCCTCGCAGACAAGAAAAATTCAATTAATTTACCCACTGTAATCAAAAGGAGAGCGCTAATGGATCTTCTTAGTCTTAGCCCCTAATTGGAAGTTCCAGATTTTAGAAAAATCAAAGCCTTTAAATTTGAATACACATCATTTAAAAGATGAGAGTGGGCATTTATGAGACATAGTACATGTAGTTAGCTATAAAAACGCTACCAGCGCTATTTAACTTAATTGTGCGTTAGTGTGAAAATCTCTGTTTAGATATAAAAACTTGTTTAATATGACTTCTTTGTAGCAGATCGCAATAAAACTGAAGCTACGCACCCTCTACCATCTCACTCTCAGGTCCCACCACACACTCGGGGAATTTCTGCAAGTGCACGATGTCAAGTCATACCTTTGACGTTGCAGCAAGGTTGATGCAGGTGTATGCTAGTTTTTCCACTTTGCCCCTCGTCCAATCACATGTAATTTTTCGGTAAATATCATGGCATACCATAATTTCTTCGGAGGTGTGTCAGAATTGCGCGGGAAATTTCACCACAACCCCCGCTCAGTGCCCACTCGAATAAGCGCGTGTCGCCATGCCCAAAATCAGCGAGCGGGTAGGTGTTTAAACTGCTGTCCCTCGCAATCCTTGAGGAGGAGCTCGATGAAGATACGGGTGGGTATTCTTCGTTTGATAACTGTTTCGAGTGATTCTTGTCGAATCAACCGTGGAGGTGCTATACGAGGTACTAGTGCAAGTTCTGTCGCGGCGCTACATGAAACCTAGAGCGAATCGGGTGAGGAGCCGAGCGTTTGCGATATAATATTTTTAAGCCTCCACGACGATGAGTTTCCGAGTCGTACACGTACCACAAGAGAGGCATTTGATATTATTTGTGACCTAATTAGAGGCCATCGCATGTTTACCAACGATAGCAACATCTCACAAGCCCCGATATGGATTCCGCTTGCAGTGACGCTTGATCGGCTGGGAGCAAAATCGAATGGTGCATCTTTGAGCCGCACAACGAAAACATGGGGAGTTGGTGCCGGCACACTCGACCTATCCACGGCTGGAGTGATGATCGCGTTGTCCGACCTATCGGTCGAGTACATTAAGTGACCAGATGAGGGCGAGCGAAATAGCATTTCGAGGCTAATGAAGCGCGAGGGATTCGCGGGCTGTTTGGGATTCATTGACGGCACAACATTCCCGCTTGCAAAACAAACTGGAGTTGACGGCCAATGTTTTTTGTTTCTACCGAAACACCACTACAGCGTGAATGAACAACTCGTTAGTGATGACCGCCGGCGCATTATCTCATTCTGTAGTGGATGGCCTGGTTCCTACGCAGACAGCACTCTTTACCATGAGATGACACCGTCGAAGAGCGGTTACAAGCTGTACTTCTTCAATCCTGGCCAATCTTTGCTTGCTGATTCAGCGTAGCCCGCGGACAGAACACACTATACACTTGTACCAGCTTACAAACAAAATGAAGCCGGTATTGATAACGAGGCATCTAACACTTGTATGGGCTCTCCCCAAGGAGAGCTCCGTTTTCTCCTACTGTAATATTTCAAAATGAAATTTTGATACAATTTTGTTGTGTTGTTATGTCCCGTGACGGTTAATTAGCTGTAAGCCACTAAGCTTTTTGAGGCTTGTTCGTCAATTTCTACAATGTGGCCCACACCACCAATCTGCAAGTACCGTAGCCATACATGCTAAGAGCACTAATACACATTTGAACAGCATTTGAGCAGTACCTGAAATTGATCACTGAGCAGCTGCTTCGAACAGAGACAACGTACGTAGCCGTACTAGTCCTCCACCGTAGTCTTCGACACGTCCGCTATCTCCGCCGCGTGTGCGTGCGATGCACGCATGCACCATGCATACAATAGCCGAGCAGCTTGGGCTAGCGACAGTTTCATCCCAGAAAACCAACTATGAGTTAATATACTCAAGCTTACCTCCCTTCCGTCATCGTGGCATTTCTTGCGGCAGCACCGCCAGTGTCTCGTCTTCCCGGAGACTCTTAAACGCATCGGGCGCTGGCAGCATGGACAATACATAGCGCTTTCTAGAAGTCCTGCTGTTTACCACCACGCTACAGCCCCAACCTCGTCGCTTGTCGCCTCAATGATTGAGGGGAAGATGAAGTGCTCCACGTTGTGGAGAGCATAGTGATGGCTGGTTGCGCTAGTCATGATACGGAGGGAGGCTGGCAGAGTCTGGTGCGGTGTGAATACTCTGCAAAGTGAGGGAGTAAGCGTGCTGGCTGAGCGCGTGGCAGGGAGGGAACGGGGGCATTCTTGCGTTTACATACAGATGGCTAGTAAATTGTTTTTACATACATCGTGTAAATGTCGTCGAAAACGGCCTGTTATTTGCCATTTTGAGTCGTGAGCAAATTTTGTGTGACGCACACTGGTCAAATCACAAACTATGAAAAATCATTTTTAAATATTACAATAGGAGAAAACGGAGCTCTCCTTGGGGAGAGCCCTTGTATGGATCATGCATGCGTCGCAAACGAGCACAGCGTTGAGGTTTTGAAAAGCCGTTGGTCGTCGAAGAGAGAGATGCGCGTCCAGATTAAAAGCAAAGAGAATACGAATCGCGTTCTTCGGTGTATTACCGCATGTGTCGTCCTTCACAACTTGCTCATTGGTATTGGGGACAGCTGGACAACATCAGAGGAGGAGGAGGGGTCCGAGGAAAAAGACATCGAATGGAAAGATGATGTCATATTTTCTTTTCGAGGACAGCTGAAAGCTCGTGCTGTCGCACGCGGACGTCAACCCGGAGGGATTCTGTGGCTCCGAGGCGAATTACGTGCAACAGGCAACGTATCTAGAAGCCATTTCAGTACTTATCGTTTTTATTTTGGTGTTATAACTGCACTGACAACAAGTTGAACTTACTACATGTACCCCATAGAAAACTTGTTTGCTAACTGATCGTTCGTCACTGTGTATGAATATCGATGCAGCGATCGGCCTCAATTGACGCTCAGCTAGTAGATGCGCATAGCTATCGTAAATATCCAGCAGATTTTTTATCTCGGATGCCTACTTGCCCTGATTAACCAGCACAAGAAATACTTATGACGCTCCGGCGCCTTTCGAGAAACTGATTCTTGTTCAAGGCGCTCACGGTCCCTCTGCAAGTGGTCTGCACTTTCAGCTCTTTCTTCCGTCCACTTTTGCGTGCTGAAGCTGAGCTGGTCGTATAGAAAGTCCTGCTTTTTAAGCTCACTTCTAGGTGCAATTCAGCAAGAGATCAGCTTTTGTGGTAATTTGACGTTCTTGTTTTCTTCCCACCACCCTTGGAGCCTCGCGTTGCTCGAGCTACTGCTACTTCGTTTTGCCCCAGTAGTCGTCGCTGAAGTGTTACGTCGAGGTTTGCTTTTGGCTGCACCCCTTTGCTTAGTGTTTGTTTTCACGTGTATTTACTAACGTCCCTGCGAGTACTGTCGAAACGAGAGAGCTGTTGTCCTCTGTATCGTCCTCTTCCGAACCCTCGTTGTTAGATGTGCTAAAAACAGCTTCGGCAAGACCTCGCAGATTTGGCCCACCCACACAAAATGAAGCAGCAGGAGCCTGGGGTTTGTACGGAGCTGGGGATTTATCTTCCTACATATGCTCAGCATCTTCATAAGCACTGCTTGCTGAACCATGTCAATATTGTGTTTCCTGGCATCTCGTGCACTCAACGGAAGAAACACCGTTTAGTCGTGAAATAATGTGGATTGGTCCTGTGCACTGCTGCCTGGGCTTGACGAAGCGCGACATGGCAAACGGTATAGCGTCGATTGAGCAGAAATTGGAGGCGAGATGCCACAAGTTCATGCGCATGAAGGCGCTTCGACGAGATTTTCAACATTAAACCTGCAGGCTCGGTGGAGCTCGGTACCCCTTCCCCCCTCAGTAATCGTTCTGATACTCGCTGATGACGCAGCGGAGCTGCACAGTAGTAAGCATCTACATATTCCGCCAAGTATCGACGATTTCGATGCTATCACCAGCTTTGGAAATGCTAAAGCTGACGAAGACGATTCTGACGCAAGTACGGACTATGGCGAAGGACTCTTTATGACGGTGAGTCAGAAATACACGCTTATAAGAATGGTAAAGAAGAGCGCGCGCATGCCACGAGGCACACCCAGTGCGATGTATACAGTCACACAGAGCAGCCCGAATATTGTTGATGTAGGTCCGCCATCGACTTTGTATTTGGTCTTGGAAGCTGCCAATGTGTCGTCTTGTCGTACAAGTACGCGGCCATCTTCTTGAACGCTGAGCTCTTCATCTACTTTGGCGGCCCGCCAACCTTCATCTTCTCGTCAGTGCCGTAGATGGCCTTAAAGTTGGCCTTGACTTCAATCCAATCCACCAAAACCCGATAATCTGTAGATAGATGTACCTTAGACGATTCAGCTTGAGCTCTACGCTGTCCTGTCAAACCTACACATCATACGCGTAAGGCAAGGTGCAACGCACCAGCAGCTCAGATAGATGTTTGCCATCGTCGAATCGAGAGGTATGTTGACTTACTGTGCTGATGGTGTTATAACCTTGAAGGTGAAACACTCCACACAGTGAGGGTGTGCTCGATTAGGCTAACTGCGCGTGTATCATCTCGGTTAAGGCGAGAGTAAACTGCTTCGGCGGGCTTCCAAGATGTTTCCTTTTACGAGGAAAGAACACTTGACGCGTTTGACATATTTCATATATCCGCCAATTCGCACCTGTAAAAATGGCCTATCTCTGGAGGTGGGCGATATATAATTACTTTTTTTTTGAGCGGAATAGCTTACTTTTGCTCCTTCTTCCTTCTATTATTTGTAAATCTGCAAAATATTCTGCAATACTTAATGACATACAAATATAAGTATAGACCAAAGTGGATTAATGTATTTATTGCTTTAATTGGTCAAAATGCCATTTCATTGATTAGTTCTGTATTGCAATCAACCCCCCTCTGTGGAGTGTGGTCTGCGTCAGTCCGTCAGTCTGTCCGAGGGTAGGGTTAATAAAACTGACGCTAATGCGGGCGTTCTACTGACTGCCGAGCGCAGCGAAGGCGCCCCCCATTGGCTAAATTGACATTGTTGTTTTGTACCAACTGTATGTGGTTTACACATCGTACTTGAGTGCACCGTTCAAATTTCATTTCGCCCCACTTTCAACTGCGGTTTGCCAGGCCACGCAAATGACGCTGCATGTGTGCGGGTTAGTTTGCATTGGTAGACTTCGTCGACGTGCACACATGTAACATATGTTCGTATCAGCTGGTAATATAATTGGTAGGACCTGGTGACGCACAGTTTGTCTTATATAATCTTTACATTACTTATAGCTGGCAAAATTATATTTTAAGATTTGTATTACGTTTAAATTTATTATACTTAAATATTGTTTTGCATAGTACTATTCTTAATAGCTTTCATATTTTTGTTTGCAATCTTTTGTAGTAGTCGCGCTAATAATGATTAAATCAGTGATAAATTAATTAAAATATAGATTCTTTCTAACGCTCAAGAAACACAATTTTATTACAAATATTAATTGCTACAAATACGACTATAATGGCTCCACACACTTTACCCACACACACCACATCGCCGCCGCGAAAAAAGACGTATTCCTTTGTATCTGCGTGTACGTGCGACACTTAGAGAATGTGCGCACTTTCCAACATGATACGTAGCATACATTCAGGGCTTTGGGGGTGCATGTGATTAAGTTAGCGCAGAGGCACGTGATTATACAAGAACACGAAACACGGAGGAGCACCGAATCACACTATGTACATAATGTGATAGAAGGAACAACTTGAAATACAGAAGGCCACGGACGATAAATGAAGAGGCCACGAAATATCATGCGAAGCACGAGCCACGGAAGACCACACAGGCATGAAATATACGGACCGGCACGACGAGACGACAGCGGGTGAGAGCTGAAATAATGAAACGCCTACATGCCGGAAAAACACGGGCCACGGAAGAGAGCGCACGTTCACAGTCCCGGTAGACCACGTAGCTGTGCGAGTGCACGAAAAGGAGTTCTCTACCACGGGCTACCACGAAACACGGTCGACGGCACGGGAGAGCATAAGCGGGAAATCACTGAACTTTGGAGGACGATACCAGGGCAGCCCGGAGCTCACCGAGCCACGGCACACGATACTACGGTAGCTCACGATAGCTTGGACGACCGACCAACCTCAACACTACGCCATAACACGACCGCATGGACGGTAGATTAACCACAAAGCCATGAGAGAACACGCAGCCACGGAGCACATAACCAGTGTAGAGCCTGAGCTTATCGAGCGCCGGAGAACAATACCACATTAGAACACGATTGCACGGATGGCGGATTAGCCACAAAACATACGGGGGTGGACGCTGGGGGTGACCACGATTGCACAGCGTGGAGCACGATATCAATGTAAAACACGATAACACGGGCAAGCAGATGCGCTATGCGAGCACAATACCATAGACAGCAGAACCACACCGCAATTACACGATAGCGTGTTAAAGCGGTGGATGAAACCTCACCAGGAGAGCACGATACACGGGCGACGGAACAACACGACTGTGTGGAGACACCGAACCACGGAATAGCATCTTCGGCTAGAGTACCGGCGATGGGAGGCCAAAGGCCGTGAAAAAACTATGTACCACGAAATCGGTTTAACCCACGTAAACGTTTGAGAACGTCAATGGCGTAGGATATGATTTTAAATGGTACGGCAAGACAACAGCAAAACAAGAAAGGTGTAAACTATAGCGGGTTAAGTAGACCCCATAAAGAAGCTTTAATAACTGTTGGAGCCTAAATGACGTAAAGTCATCCTGGAATCATCGCTAAGCTATTACGTAAGAAACACTGCCGTCAACAACAACAACAGCACGGCGTCTTGCGACACAATACCCAAATGTTTTAATCATAACTGGCACGTAATCGAGTG